AGGAGGTGTCAGAAAAGTCACCGCGGGGATAACTGGCTTGTGGCTGGCAAGCGTTCATAGCCACGTCGCTTTTTGATCCTTCCTATCCTTGTGAAGCAGAATTCATCAGGCGTTGTATTGTTCGCCCAGGAATAGGGAACGTGAGCTGGGTTTAGACCGTGGTGAGACAGGTTAGTTTTCCCCTGCTGATGACGCGTTGCCATGGTAATCCTGCTCCGTGTGAGAGGAACGGCAGGTTCAGACATCTGGGATGGGCTTGGCGGAGGAGCCAATGGGGAGAAGCTGCTGCCATCTGTGAGATTGTGAATGAGTGCCTCTAAGTCAGAATCCCGCCCAGGCGGACGGATAGGGCAGCGCGGGGGGCCTCGGATATCCGTCCGTCCCCCCCCCCCCCCCCCGCTTCCCTGCGGGGACATCGTGTCCAACCACCTTGCCGCCTGCGCGTCAGGACCCGGTCTGGTGCAGAGAGCCTTCCTCCTGGGAAAGGGGGTGCGGCCAGAAAGGGGGCCGCCCCCAGCCCTTCACACAACACACGTTGGAACCATTCGTAGATGACCTGCTTAGGGGTCTGGGTTTCACACGTAGCAGAGAAGCTCCCTCGCTGAGATCTATTGAAAGTCAGCCCTCCGCCTCGCTTCCTTGGGGGACGGGGGCGGAGGGGGGGGGGTGGCCTGGTGTCGGAGGGAAGGGAAGGAAGGAGGAGGGAGATGCGCATGCGGAGCCGGCGTCAGCGCCCGTTTGCGTTTGCGGGCCTGGCCCGGCGACCCTCACCTCCTCTCCGCAAACCCCGCCGGATTGGGACGGGAAAGCGGGGGTGGGTGGCGGGCACGTGGCCCCCTTTCCCAGGGTGGGTTGAGGGCCGGCTTCCTCTTTCTTTTCCACGAAAATCCCGGTCGACCAGCACTCCCCGAAAAGGGAGGGCGCGAGGACTTTGTCTCTGCGAGGGAGGCGGGGGTGGACCAGATGTCCCGCCCGGACTTGGTCTGGGCTATGCTTCACTGTGATTGGGTTGACCAGATGTCCGTGCAGATGAGATGAGTGTAAATAAGGGGCTTGGGGCGGGGGTTCTGGCAGGAGCGGAGCCAGATGAGATGAGCAGTTTGAAGACTGGGAGGGGAACCACAGAAAAAATAAATGCTGCATTTATTATTTTTTATTTAAACAAAAAGCCTTAAGTAAAAATAATTTTTTTAAATATATTTTATTGATTTTGTACAGAGAGGAAGAGAGAGGGATAGAGAGTTAGGAACATCGATGAGAGAGAGTCATCGATCAGCTGCCTCTTGCACACCCCCTACTGGGGATATGCCCGCAACCAAGGTATAATACATGCCCTTGACCAGAATCGAACCTGGGACCTTTCAGTCCCCAAGCCGACGCTCTATCCATTGAACCAAACCGGTTTTGGCAAGTAAAAATTTTATCAAACCTAACCTAGTAATATTTAGAAAGGATAACCCTGAACATGTTGCATTTATCATGGATTGCAAGACAGTTTAACAAAAATGATTCAATGAAATCCTCACCTTAACAGATTAGAGTTATAAATTATTTCACCTCAATGACAATAGAAAAAAAATTTATAAAACTCAACATTGATTCATAATAAAAACTCTTAGCAAAGTTGGAATAAAAGAGAAGTTTCCCAATGTAGTGAAGTGTCATTAAAAAAAAAAAAAACAACCTTAAGCAAAGTATCATATGCTTAGAAGTGAATCTCTGAATACTTTCTCTTTGATATCAATAAGTATGCGTATAATTCAAGATAATACTACAGATTCTAACCAGTATAATAAGGCAAGAAAAAAAGTAAAAGAAACAAGGACTAAAAAAAAGAACAAAATTTATTAATCTCAGATGATTGTGCAAGTTGAAAAATTTTAAATCTTCAAATAAATTAGTAAAATGAGAAATTTTAGCAAGATTGCTAGGCATAAGGTTCAATATATAAAAATAATTATACTTTTATTATTTATTTTCTTATTTATTAATCCTCACCCAAGGATATTTTTTTCCACTGATTTTCAGAGAGAATCAGGAAGGAGGGAGGGATGGTGCGGGGGAGAGAGGCAGAGAAAAACATCAATGTGAAACAGACACATTGATTGGTTGCCTCCTACAGGAGCACTGAGTGCCCTGATTGGGGCCAGGGATCAAACTTGCAACCCGGGTACAGGCCCTTGGTGCCCTGGCTGACACACTAACCTCTGAGAGACACTGGCCAGGGCAAATATCATTATACTTTTAAATGCCAGCTGCTGATAATTAGAAAATTAAATGCTTTTTGTAAAGATAGCCTTTATTATTAGTAGCTTCCAAAAACATGAAGTACTTAGAAATAAATCTAACAAAAATATGCAAGATTTTGTCAGGAAAATATAAAACTTAACTCATATACCCAGAAAAATGAATGAGGAGATAGTCCATGATCACAGATTGCATCAATATTTCAAGATAAATCAATTTAAGAGTAATTATCTATTTAAAAATTCAGTGCCACCAACAATCAAAATCCCTGAAGGCAAGGATTCCTTAAACAGGAAAGAAAAACACTAACCATAAAAGAAACTTATTGAAGAATTGCACTACATTAAATTTAAAAACTTCCATAAACACACTATTAAGAATATTAAAAAGGCTAGACACAGGGCGGGGGAAAAAACTATATGCAACACAACCAACAAAAGATTTGAGACCAGGATATAAGAAAATTAAAAAAAAAAAAAAAAGATATGCAATACAACCAACCAAAGAATCAAAACCAGAATATACTGAGAATTCCTAAAATCAGTAAGAAAAAGACAACTAAATTATAATTTGAAAACTTGAACAAGCATGAACAAAATGGAAAATCCAAACAACCAATAACCATTGCTAGCTTCATTAGTAATTAAGGAAATACTAATTAAAACTAATACAAGAGCCGGGACCGGTTTGGCTCAGTGGATAGAGCGTCGGCCTGTGGACTGAAAGGTCCTGGGTTCGATTCCGGTCAAGGGCATGTACCTTGGTTGCGGGCACATCCCCAGTGGGGGGTGTGCAAGAGGCAACTGGTCGGTGTTTCTCTCTCATCGATGTTTCTAACTCTCTGTCCCTCTCAATTCCTCTCTATGTAAAATCAATAAAATATATTAAAAAAAAAAAACTAATACAAGAAACTCAACAATTTAAAAAAAAAAAAAAAACTTTAAAGGTCAATATGAAGTGCTGATGTGTGGAACAAAGACACTCCCATACACTATATATGACAGTTTGACATTTTCTGGTAAAGTTGAAGATCTATATACTGTACAATTCCCCAAATCTACTCCTATGCATATATCCCATACAAATGCATGTGCCAGGATACCGTATAGCTTTTGATGCTGATTGGCAAAGAAACCAACTAATCAGAACCAAACTGGCCAGCAGAGGAGGGCAGTTGGGATTGAGATCAGGCCAGCAGGGGAGGGCAGTTGAGAGCAATCAAGCCAGCAGGGGAGAGCAGTTAGGGGGGGATCAGGCAGGCAGAGGCAGTTAAAGACAACCAGGCTGGCAGGCAGAAGCAGTTAGGGGTGATCAGGCAAGGTAGGCAAGTGAGCAGTTAGGAGCCAGTGGTTCCAGATTGAGAGAGAAATGTCCCCAGTTGGAGACGGTGCAGGCTGGGCTGAAGGAACCCCCCTCTACGTAACATGAATTTTGTGTACCAGGCCTCTAGTGTCTGTTTCTTTCTCTCTCTCTCTCTCTCTCCTCTCTCTCTCTCTCTCTCTCTCTCTCTCTCTCTCTCTCTGCAAATAGACTGAACAGCAGAACAACCAGTTGCTATATAACGTGCACTTCCCACACCAGGGGGCGTGCACAGAACATGGCAGGTGTTGGCTGCATCAGAATGGTGGGGCAGGTGAGTGGGGGCGCCAGACCAAGGCAGGGTGCTGGTTGCTATAATTGGGGCAAGCATCTGGTGGTTAATGAAAATTCTTGGCTCCTACGCACTGTGGTGCTGCCCAGCGCTCACACCTACTGCCAGTACCAGTCCCACTGGCACGCGCTGCTGGCTCCCAGCGCTGTCCCCAATCACTCAGCACCGTCAGCTATCGGGAGCAGTGACTGTCGGCCCCAATCGTTCCTGAACACAAATTTCTTGTATACAATGCCTAAAAATAGGCAAAATTAAACTACTGAATATATTATTTAGGAAAGCATATCTTTGTGGGGAGGAAGAAGGTTGTGATAAGAAAGGTGTCCAAAGAAAGTTTCCAAGGAGTCAGCAATGCTATACTTTTGATAGTACCATTGGTAACATGGGTATTTTCTCTACAACTATTTATTAAAATGTACTATTCAAGTTTTAGCATTTTTTGCATAAGTTATATTCTACAATAAAATATTTGGTTAAAATCTTTTTTTAAATTACTATGCTTAATGGTTTTAAAAATTGCTTAATTTTTAGAGGTGGAAGAGATGGAGAAAAAGTGAATAGTGCCATAACGCTTGAACCAAAGGATTTGTGCCCTTACCTGTTTCATACTTCTTATTCCCAGGCACGGCGACAAGTTGGAAGTGTAGGCTGTGTCCTTCTCAGACACTGGGCCTGCCTCGGCCTAGACTGTACTCCTGCTTCTTTTCTGTTGTCACCACCCTTGATTCCATGCTAGCTGAAGAAATGTATCCCAAGCCTGTTCCATATCCCTAAGGACTAAGCTTTATCTGAAACTGTTTACTTGTTTCATGTAGTAGACCAACTTTCCATCTCTGGGAAGGCAGGATGGTATTTGCAAAGAATATGAACTTGGAAAACCAGTTCCCTTTCACTGACTAGCTGTGCATGCAGGAAAGATGGACCTTACCTTGCACTTTGGTCCACTCATTTATAAAAGTATCACAACCCTTCACAAAATTAAAATACCAATGGCATAGAGCTGTTACTCACTGTTTTTCTCCTAATCTGATCCCAACTCTGTTTATTATTAAAAGTTTAATATCTTTAAGATGCGCACCTTATTTTTCTTATTCCTTTTTAGGCTGTTTTATACAACGATAGATCTGTTCTGGAGAATCATCATGCTGCATCAGCTTGGAGCCTGTATCTGTCTCGCCCAGAATACAACTTCCTTCTGAATCTTGATCATGTGGAATTCAAGCGCTTTCGCTTTTTAGTCATTGAAGCAATCCTTGCCACAGACCTTAAGAAGCATTTTGATTTCCTTGCTGAATTCAACGCCAAGGTTTGTTATGTAATTTATGCCTGATATCAAAAATGGAAACCACTGTTATCAGTGTTACTAAATAAATGTATTCTATACTAGAGGCCCAGTGCACGAAAATCATGCATGGGGAGGCGAGTATTCCTCAGCTTGGTTTGCACCCTCTTGCAATCTGGGACCACTGGCTCCTAACTACTTGCTGGCCTACCTGCCCTAATCTCTCTAACTGCCTGGCTGATTGCCATTAACTGCTCTCCCCTTCCAACCTGATCCCTCTAACTGCTCTTCCCTGCCAGCCTGATCCCCCTAACAGTTCTCCCCTGCCAGTCTGATCACCTGTGACTGCCTCTGCCTTGGCACCACCACCATTGTTTTGTCCAGACGGATGTCAGGAAGGTCACCCAGAAGATATCCAGTCTAATTAGTATCCTATCTATTTGCTAATTGACCCTCATATGTCTCAAAGAAGGCAGCATTCACAGCCAATAAGGAGATAATATGATAATTGACTGTCACACCCTCAAAGATGGCTGTGCCCATAGTCACAAGATGGTGGCACCCAGTCCCCTCAGATTCCAACCACCCAGGGCCAGCTGGAGGTGCCAGCAAGCCTTGGAGGTGGCTGCTCAGCAGCCCAGGGCCACCTGAGGCTCAGGTAACCAGGGCCGGACGAGACTTGCACTGTCAGCAGTGGCAGCAGCAGAGGTATAACAGGGTGTCACCTTCCCCTGATGGCTGGTTTGCCTCCCGCCCCTGAGGACTGTGAGAGAGATGAGGCTGGGTTGAGGGATCCCCCCCGGCCCCACCAATGCATGAATTTTCATGCACTGTGCCTCTAGTATATAATAAAAGGGTAACATGCAAACAGACTGAATGGCAGAACCAAACAACCAATCAAAGCATACTACATTAATGATATGCTAAGGCTGCTCAACCGCTCGCTATGATGTGCACTGACCACCTGGGAGCAAACAGTGGATGGGTTGATCAGTTACTATGATGTTCACTGACCACCAGAAGGTAGATGCTCCGACCCGTAGATTAGCTTGCTGCTGGGGTCTGGCTGATTGGGACATAGTGAGATGGTCCCTCCCTGGCCTGGTCATGCACCAGTAGTGTCCCTCAGCCTGACCTTGCAATCCGGGACCCCTTGGGGGATGTTAGAGAGCCGGTTTTGACCCAATTCCACAGGCCACTCCCCTTGGGAAGGTGCCAGATACAGAGCTCATGGCTGGTGAGCGCTGCTGTGGCAGCACCACCCTCTCCTGATGGGAACTAATTGGGCACAAGCCTGTGGCAGGCACAGTGTGGCTGGGATGAGCAAGAGCACGCAGGTAGGAGCTGCAGCAGTGTTGGACTGCAGGTTTTGGCCAGATCCCTGCAGGCCACCCATAGGGACACTACCCATGCACAAATTTGTACACCAGGCCTCTAGTTATATAATATGGTTAGAATTAATACTGTTTATGAATTCATGATAAATATCTACTGTAAGATATTACATATTCCAATATTTTAAATCAATATTTTTATTATAACATATTCTAAAATACTATTGCTTACTGCATTTCCTCTCCGAAAAAGCTTATAACTTTCACATGGTGACAAATCAATTATGTTCAAAGTTTTTAGAGGCAGATTTAAGAAAGTTGTGCACTGTGCCAAGGAAGACCTTTTATGAAATTAAAGATGTACTTCAAGGAAGCCCATTATGTCTACTGCACCATACCTATTACACCTTCTTTATATTAGTGCTTGGCTGGTGTGGGAGAGAAGTACTCTCCACTCTTCCACTTGAGAATATGCACTCACTGTGCTAAAGAATAAAGAGCAAGGAAGAAAAAAAAAAATAAGGAGTGAACACTCTCCTAGGATAGTGGTACTCATTAGCGTGTTCTGTGCCTCAGACATTTGGAGTGAAAAAGTGTTGAAAACCACTGCTTTTGATTCCTAAAGGAAGGATGTGCCTTCTTTTGCTGGCAGGAATCTATTGTTTTCTTCTCATTTTAAAAAATCTTCACCTAAGGATATGCTTGATTTTAAAGAGAGAGACAGACAGACATCATGGGTTGCCTCCTGTATGCACCCTCCTCCCCATTGACCTGGGATAGAATCTGAAACCCAGGTATGAGCTATGACTGGGGATTGAACCCACAATTTTACTGGATAAGGGATGATGATCCAACCAACTGTACCACAATGGCCAGGGCTGGAATCTGTGTTTTGTTTTGTTTTTTAAATGAATTTCTGACATAAAGGAACTTGTCCTTTCATGGTAGAGGAACTGGTAACAAAAAAGTACTAGATTTAACCCCTTGGACAAGACTATCCTCTAGATCAGTGTTTCCCAAGCTTTTGACATATGTGTACCCCTTCTATAATTTTCGTAACGCTGAGTACCTCTCGTACTCATGAGAATGTAGAATTAGGCGCAGCTAAGCACAGTGCAGTGCATATCCCCACCAAACTCTGGTGCAACACATACCCACACCAAACTCTTCCGTACCTCTGCGGGTACACGTAATACCACACTTTGGGAAACACTGCTCTAGATGAAGAAACACTCCAAGAGATTCAATGATGTTTTCAGTATCATACAATAAATTAGCACGTCATTCTGAGTCAGGATTTTAAACCATAGAGCTCAGCTTCTAAGACTTGTGTTCTTTAAACCATATCACATTTGTCTTTCACAGCTAGAGCCAACTTCTCCTTAGATCCTGAAGTATTTTCTTTTTTTGAGGTACAAAGTTACAATTCTACATGATTTCTGATGTTTTGCATACATATACTTATATATTATATTGCATATTAATAATACACACACACACACACACACACACACACACACACAATTATAATCCTCTGTGGTAATCACCAAATATGAAAACCTATAGTTTGTTATGTTTTTATAGTCTCTGCTTCTATTGAAACAAAATTATAATAACATTTCAAATTCAAGAGAAACTTAACCATAGAGGTCCATATTATGGCACATATAGATTAAAAGAAGCATTTATTGAAATTCCTGCCTGTCATTGGGTTAGGAAAATTTTAAGGTAATTTGGTAGAAACAACAAAACTCCTGTGCCCTCAGAACCTAAAATAATGCTGTTTTTCCAAAACAGGCCAACGATGTAAATAGTAATGGTATAGAATGGAGTAATGAAAATGACCGCCTCTTAGTGTGCCAGGTGTGCATCAAACTGGCAGACATCAATGGCCCAGCAAAGATTCGGAACCTGCATTTGAAATGGACAGAAGGCATTGTCAATGAATTTTATGAGCAGGTGGGTTGAAATGTGATATTGGAATGATTTTTAATAGTTGCCATCTGAAGACACTGCCCTTTGGGATTTGGAAAGCTACAGTCAGTGTTTGAAATCTGAATTGCTTTGACTAAGAATGGTTAGAAATTGTTCCATTTGCTCTGGTCTTAGTATATTCTATGCTCTTTTTGCCTTTGCTGCTATTAAAAAAAAGTTTATGGCCTATCTAAAGTGGGTTGAATGTACTTGAGTGTAGAGGTAAGGACAGACTACATTATGATTCCAAGGTCCCTTTCAATCGTGAGAACCGATATAGCCTACGATAATTTATTTCCAAATGAAATTGTTTTTAATTGATTCAGATTATGCTTAGGTTATATTTAAAGGCTATCAACCATCTCCAACTCTGCTATAAAAAGATTGCTTTAGAAACATCAACTGGGTAAAAGTCCTGGTAGAGGATTATAAATTAGCTAGAAATAGGGACAAAGTAGATCTTAATGGTTTTCAAGGATCCAAAGATATAAACATGGTCTTTCCTCATGTGTTTTAAACTCTTGTCCTGAAAATTAATCCTACCACTTTGCAGAATCTTTCCATTTTTTTTGAGGTCCAATTTTGAGGCTCTCTACAATGTAAGAGTATACTGATTTCTCCACAAGCCTAACATTTCACTATCTCCAAATATCAAACACATCTTCTTGACTTTGGAATTACATTCCTTGGAAATCTTTATTGACCCTAATAACCAGTAAAAACAAATATCTACCATGGGAGGCCTCTGTGAGACTTTCTTACCATAAGTTGCAACTCTAGCAGGAGTGATGAAGTGGAGTCTATAAAGCATGCAGTTATCTGTGTACCTGTCACACCCAGATTGTACCAAATGACCAATCAATGTGCAGTGGCTTTCAGCCACCTTAGCTAATTAAAGGTCCCAACACAATAATGTGTACTCTGCTGTTCATAAGTTAAAATATTCTATACTGTGTAATTAATATTTTACTATTTTGATACACTTGAACTAAACTATTTGTACTTTTGGGTAAGATATGGTAATAAATATTTGCCTAATCTGTAGTAATCAGTTTGCATAGTCCTATATTCATTCTTAAAGATAACGGAAGCCTGTTTCAGGATTTAATTTATGTTCACAAAAGAATTTAATGCTCTCTGTACAGAGGTAATTAAAAAGTATTAGTATATGCCAGATTGTGAAAACTCACAAATTTCATTGAAAGAACATTTGAAAAATTTCAACCCCATTTACAATATAATTATTTTTAAAATATATAGAATTATTTTTTATTAAACGTAAAGCCATGCCTGAGGTTGAATCTGGATCCTTTTCCTTACCAGCAGTGTGTGACTTTAACCTCTCTGCCTTGGTTTCCCCATATATAAAACAGAAATGTTGATGGCAGCTACCACATAATTTATTTAATCCTCACAACAACCTGAATATTTAAAGTTTTAGAAAAGTTCCTGACAGATAAGTGCTCCATAAAATGTTGGCAATTATAGTTCCTGATCTTTCACTAAAAGTCACATATTTCAGACAGTATCACTTAATTTCTCTAGGTTTCATTATTCATATGTCAAAGGAGAAAAATGACACCCTACCATAGAATTGTTATGAAGTTTAATGAACTAATCTATATGAAAGTTCTAGTTAACCCTCATCAAAACTATTACATTTCCTCTCATTCTAGCTATGCGATTAAACATCTTTAAGATATAGATGCAAAATTCTAACCTTACCCATCTTTTTATCATTGTAATTACACTAGCTTTATATTCCTATATCTAAGTGCCGTGAGCTTAGGAAAGCCAAACTTCTAAAAAATATATATATTAAACCTATGAAATTGTAGAATCCTGTGGGCAACCTCAACTGGTTTAAAAACAAACATTCTTTCCTTGGTCATAGAATATTAAATCACAGGACAGTTCACTGCGACAGTTTCATAAGGACATATGACTCATCTTGCCTGCAGCACTTGTGCATTATGGAGCGTATTCATTCCCCACCAGAACAGAAACTGGGAGCCAAACTGTTCACAGTACCATTTGGAGAATGCTCAGCACTGTGCTGAACACTTAATATATTCATATTGCTTTCCATCCTCATAGCAACCCTGTGAAATAAATTTATAAAATTTTACAGATGAATTGAACATAGAGCTTGCCCAACACCCTCTAGGTAGTAGGTGGCAAAAGCAGATTTTAAAGCTATGTATGTCTGATCTTACAGTACTATGCTCTCCAGAACCCTAGAGGCCACAGTGACGAGGGTATCTCAGGGCAAGCAATTGGGGCTCTGAGCCCAGAATCCTCACATTAGCTCTACTTCTTTCTGTTTTACATATTAGGCTTTTTTATTTACATTAATGGACGACTATGCCATTACAAAAGGGGAGGGGTGTTGAAACGCATTTGCAAAAGTAAGAGTATACTGATTTCTCCACAAGCCTAACATTTCACTATTTCCAAACATCAAACACATCTTCTTGACTTTGGAATTACATCCCTTGTATGTTTACAGTACCGCTACAACAAGTGTTCCCACTTACAGTCTCCACCTAGGACAAAGAGAATCTGTATTTGACTCTAAGGAATTTTGCAGGTTCTTAGTAAATTTACTAACACTTACTCTAAAAAGACGTTTTTGGTTTTTTTTTCTTGTTAACGGTATCAACCATACAAGTTGACTGTTGGAGTGTGAGAATAAAGTTTTGTTTAGGATTTCTCAAATATTAGAGAAATGCTTACAGTTGAAATGATAGAGTAATAATTAGATTCATTGGCACTTTTTGTAAAAGTCATTTTTATGTAGACTAGACTGCTTATTTAAAAAAAAAACATCTTAAGATAATTTAACAGCAAAGCGTAGTAGTTGTTCTCTCAACAATTAAGAATGTATTTTTTCTTTTTAAAATGTTCAGGGAGATGAAGAAGCAAGCCTTGGTTTGCCCATCAGTCCCTTCATGGATCGTTCTTCTCCTCAACTAGCCAAGCTCCAGGAGTCCTTCATCACCCACATCGTGGGTCCGCTGTGTAACTCCTACGATGCTGCCGGTTTGCTCCCGGGCCAGTGGATGGAAGCAGAAGAGGAAGATGAGACTGAAAGTTGTTCTGATGAGGATGGTGAAGAATTAGATACCGATGATGAAGAAATAGGAGACAATCTGAATCTTAGTAAGAACATAGGGATACTGTTTACACAATGTTCTTAATGGAAATATCCATTTAATTTGGATTTGGATCTTTGTTTTAAAAGATTCAGTAGCCTTATCCTGAATAACTATAATATATGTGTTCAGGTTGTGAATTCCTGCTGTGGGCTGGGTACCCATTGCTAATGCTGTCACAGAGACAAGCATCTCTTGAGGCGTTATCCTCTAGCCAGTGCTCCTCAGCAGGCTGTGCCTGTGCACACACGACTGTCACAGTATCTGGACAGATGGGAGGAGGTGGGTGGGTCCTACTGCCTAGTCCTCCGTTACTGCACCCCACCCTTCCTGGCCTGTTATTCTGCCCTTCATATAGACTTTATAAGTGGATCAAAACAGCTGGGAAAACTGCCCTGGCCGGTTTGGCTCAGTGGATAGAGCAACAGCCTGCAGACTGAAGAGTCTGCATTCGATTCTGGTCAAGGTACATGCCCAAAAGGGGGTGAGCAGGGGACAGCCAATTAATGATTCTCTCTCATCATGGACATTTCTCTCTCTCCTCCTTTCCTCTCTGAAATCGAGATATATATTATAGCAGTTAGCCCTCTCCCTTCCTCTCTGAAATCAATAAAAATATATTTTTTTAAAAGCAGTTGGGAAAACTGACTTAAGAGGAGAACCAAATTTTGTGGCATTACAGATCTTAATTTTAAAAGTGTAGGGACACCATTTTCTATATAAAGCAAAGAGTATAGATAAAAAATGAAAAACATTTATTATCTTTGTATCTGTAAATGAAATCAGTTGTTTGCTCTTTAAAATAGAATTAAATATCTAATTACTTTGTTTTCCAAGCATGCTGTATACAGAACAGATAACTACAAAGAATCCCACCCACCATCACCTCAAAGTTGTCTTAGTATTAGCACAGTGACGAGTAATCTTATAAGATTACCATCTAAGTATCATCTTGGGAAGTTGCTGGCTTCTGAAAGTCTATACTCACCCCAATTTTGTTAATCCTCACTTTAGGATATGTTTTCTTTTTTTTTTCTTTTTTAAATTTTTTTGATTAAATTATTATCTTTGTACATATAACATTGTCCCCTCCCCCCCATAGGATATGTTTTCATTGATTTTTAGAGAAAGGAAAGGAGAGGGAGAAACACTGATTGGTTGCCTCCCGTACACATCCCTACTGGAGATCAAACCCACAACTTAAGTATGTGTCCCCTGACCAGGAAACAAACTTGCAACCTTTTTTGGGGAAGGGAAGGACGAGGTGCACAGGATAATGCCAACCAACTGAGCCACCTGGCCAGGGCTACTCACCAAAATTTTGATGTGTTTAATACATTAAAAAATCCTTAAGCCGAAACCAGTTTGGCTCAGTGGATAGAGCGTCAGTCTGTGGACTGAAAGGTCCCAGGTTGATTCCGGTCAGGGGCATGTACGTTGGTTGCAGGCACATCTCCGGTAGGGGGTGTGCAAGAGGCAGCTGGTCGATGTTTCTCTCTCATCGACGTTTCTAGCTCTCTATCTCTCTCCCTTCCTCTCTGTAGAAAATCAATAAAAATATATTTAAAAAAAAAAGAAATAAAAAGTCCTTAAAATGTTGGTTTTATCATTTGATATTTCAGTGCCATTTCCCTCCTATACACACACACAAACTTCTTTAATCTCATTTTCTGCTTTATTTATAAAACTATTGTTACATTTTTAAAATTGATTTTTAGAGAGAGAGGGAGAGGGAGATAGAAACATCGATGGGAGAGAAAGCACGGATTGGCAGCTTCCTGCACGCCCCCTACTGGGGGGATCAAGCCACAACCTGGGCATGTGCCCTGACTGGGAATCAAACCAGTAACCTCTTGGTTCAATCTTATTATGTATTACTATAACGCCAGTGCTTATATAGCACCTGGACTATATGATAGGCATTTAGGTATTTATTGACAGAATGGCTGAAGCATATTGCTATGACTAGAATATCTCTACTTTTTAATTTCACAGAACCACAGGGAAGAAAGGGGAGACGGCAAATATTTTGTCAGCTAATGCATCACCTCACTGAAAACCACAAGATATGGAAGGAGATGATAGAGGAAGAAGAGAAATGTAAAGCTGATGGGAACAAGCTGCAGGTGGAGAATTCTTCCTTACCTCAAGCAGATGAGATTCAGGTGATCGAGGAAGCAGACGAAGAGGGAGAGGCAGTCTGAGTGAAACAAAGACGTAATGAAGAGTCCCAAGGGCTGCGCCCGAGGGTTGGAAATCAATGCCTCGAGTTCACTGTGCTGACTTTGGACTGACCGTTCCCACGTGGGCGGCCCGTCTTACTGTGAGGGGACCCTGCCGTGTCCCGCTCTTACGCACTTTCACCCCAAACTAGGAAGCTGTCCCTAGAGCTTGGCTTCACCCAACTCATGCCTAAAGCCTTTACTTAATGCCTCACTGGTGTAGGAATACTTTATCACAATACTGCTCTGTGGGTGGAAAGCACTAACTATTCATGAGGGAGATCTAGAACTAAAAGTTCAAGTAACTTTTACTGCAGTTTCCAAAGTGGCCAGAACTTCTTGCTTTCATTGAAAGTCCAATTCACATTGTATTTTCAGACGTGTCCTTTATGTATTTGAATGTTTTTTTTGGGGGGGGAAAGTCTGTGCCTATTTAAAAAGGAATCCAGTGTCTCCTTTCCAAGGGATCTGTTCAGTGCCATACGCTGTTGAGTGCTATTTACCCAGCGAGACTTACCCACGGAGGACCAAGGGACCTTTGTTATATTTAACAAAATCCACACGCATCAATTTCTGATGCTTTTTACTGTTGTGTATTATTTACTGTGTGTGTTTTATTTCTGTTCTTAGCGTTCAGATTTGGCGTGGAAATCAGAAGTCTGAATTCTAGCCTTTTTGACTTTATATTCCATGGTCAAATTTTGTTTAGGTTTAACAATGAAGGGATTTTATTCTTTAGTCAAAACTGTTCTCATTTTACTCTTGCTCAGGATTAGAATTTTTAAACATTCAATTACTATAACCCCAACACATATTTTCAAAAGAAAAAAAAAAAACTTTTTCCTAGTATCAATACTAACCTTTTATGAAAGGGAGCATTATTTTCTCTTTTCGTAGGAAAAAATGAGACTAATGAGAACCACAGAAAAGATGTGTCTTTTGCCTTAATGTAAAAAAAATAAAATGAGACTATCTTGTTAAAGAAAAAGAACAAAAGAAATAGTGTGAGCTCTGGAAGACACATACATTGCATAAGTAACTGGGATATGTACTTATTTTTATATCTTAGGTGCCATGTGTTTAGTTACTGTAAAACTAATGTTCATCTTTCTATTAATTTCTGTTTGCCTCAAGATTACACGAGAGAAATGACTTATGACTACTCAAAACTTCTAGAGCCCAATGCAAGTTGAATTTCTGATATGAAGTCAATGCTAGGAATACTTACGTGATTTTTATATAACAAATCTAAATATTTTAGTAAATCATTTCATGCAAAAGCATACTGCACATTATTAAGATAACTGCAAAGAAAATGGAACATATTTACAATGTTTATAAGCTTGTTAGTTTCTGTTAGGGTCCAGACTTGTACCCTAGCTGTAAAAGTTTTAAAGATATAAAGAGCAGAATAACATGGTAGACTAATATTTCTTATTATTCATGGAGACCATATTATATTTTGGATCGGTTTAGCTTTTGTAGGCATTAAAATCATTAATTTTCCAAGGTAATTCCTTTTAAAAAATGATGTCAGCAGGCAATTTCTTGGTTTTGTTGGTTTTGGAATTGTTGGTTTACCTGAAAGATACCAATTTAAAAATCTATAGAACTGTTGGATGTTTTGATCCTGTAGAATATAATTTTTAATGAATCACTAAGCTTTATTTATTAGACATGGTGAGTGCTGAGTGTCTTCTACCACTTTTGCTTACCATCGCCACCTCATCTGTAAACTGGTCCCACATTCCTAAGTAATAAAATTTAACTAATTTATTGAGTTTGCACTTGTAATATATATATATGTCTTGTGCTTTTCTTTCTCCAGCGTGCATTTTTGCATCTCCATATCCCTGCTATTGCAAAGTACATATATTTGTGTAAATTCACATGCAGCATGTATGCATAATGAGACAATCAAATTTCCTTACTTTCTATTTTATTAAAATTTTGTATTGGGTTTAGTGTATATTTGTGTTTACTTAAAAGAAGCATGTTTTTCTATTAAAATACTATGAATTTGATATTCTTTTAACTGCTCATAGAAATAATCTTGCAGTACTATACTATGTGGGCTTACTAACACATTTTTTTTTCTTCATAAAAAAAAAAGCCTACCTTTTAATTTCATGATTTCCTGCTAGTCTCACTTATTTTGCTGGTGCTATTCACTTTTTCTACCAATTTTTACAAGAATCCTGGCTATTGCATAGATAGAAATTTCCTCTCTCTAGATTGCATCATCTCTGGGAAGCAAACTTTACAGAAGAGATGAATGTCTTTATTACAGCTGCCAGGCCAATGTGAGCAGATCTAGAGGATGTATGGGGATGGCATGTGGAAAACAATGAACAGTTTCCCAGAGGCAAGTGGCTTTTATGCCAAGAACTGAAGAGTTATGAGTTAGCGTGGAGCTGATAGCTGTGGCGAGAGAGCAACAGCATGAGTAGAGGCCAGAAGAGAGAGCACTTCCACATTGGAGGAGCCAAAAGAGATTTGCTTAAGGTGGCCGGAACATAGAATGCAAGAGAGGGAGTGGTGGAGAGAGGGTGGTGAATCAAGGGCCTTATAAGCATGGCATGTCGTTAACCTAAGCAAAATGGGAAACCATTGAGTTTTAACTGGGAAGAGCCACATTTTATGAGGCTCACTCAACAAACTGTTGAATGGAAGAGTAAGATTAGACATGGTGAGATCCATGATCTAGACTCAGGCTATAGGACTACAGGGAAGTTTGTTAACCACAAGTGGAGTAGCAAAGTTCTAAAAAAAAAATACTTCAAGAGGAAAAATGACCCCAGATGGGGAGATCTGAGATGCATGATGGAAAAGTAAAAGCAAAGAATAAACAACTTCTTTAAGTAAAGCTATAAACATGTATATGAAATAAAAATATTTTGTGGGATTTAGAGGAAAAAAAAAACAAGAAAAAGTAAAGTTGCTTAAGGGTCTTATATAGTTTAGGAAACAGATTAAGATATTCACTGTTGCCGAAACCGGTTTGGCTCAGTGGTAGGGTGTCGGTCTGTGGACTGAAAGGTCCCCGGTTCAATTCCGGTCAAGGGCAGGTACCTTGATTGCGGGCACAACCCCGGTAGGGGGTGTGCAAGAGGCAACTGGTCGATGTTTCTCTCTCATCGACGTTTCTAGCTCTCTCTCTCCCTTCCTCTCTGTAAAAAAATCAATAAAAAAATATATATTTAAAAAAAAAGATATTCACTGTTAAGTATATACTAGTGACTGGTACACGGATTCATGCACATTGAAAAGAAATTAAAATAAATAGGTATTTTAATATTGCTCTCTGCCCTTTCTCATGTATATGAAAATATATAAATTGATTAATAAATGATAACAAAAACAATGACATGATATAAAAACAAAAACATGATATAAATCTCATTGATGTTTCCATTCCTCTCTGTAAAAAAAATCAATAAAATATATAAAAAGATAAAAACAACATTGATAAAAACTGATAAATTGATTAAACTTAATCTAACATTGAGGCCAGTGTCAGATGGGAACAAATCAATTCCTGGAATCAGAACAACCTCTCCTCTGCAGATCCTTTTAATACTTCAGCATTGATTATATTAGGTCGCAATCTTTTGATAATATAGTACCATTACCCCATTTACTATTAAGATTTCTCAATGGCATGATAATCGTACCTGCTATCAATTCTTATTTATGACACAGCACCAGGATTGGACCTAAATGGGCAGTCAGACATCCCTTGAAGGGTCCCAGATTGGAGAGAGTGCAGGCTGGGCTGAGGGACACCCACCAGTCCCTGCCCTGTACACAAATTTCATGTACCAGGCCTCTAGTCAAGTATATAACTTCTAAAGTATAAACCAGTAATGGCATAACAACGAACTACTCAATAAAGATGCAATAATAAAAAAATAAACAACAACAACAAAAACAGAGACAAATAGAGGGGGGTAAAAACACAAAGTAGAAACAAATTGTAAAATATTGAAAGCCACAAGAAATGTAATACTTGCCAGTTCAGTAATAATGACTATCACCAAAACTGGTTTGGCTCAGTGGATAGAGCGTGGGCCTGAAGACTGAAGGGTCCCGGGTTTGATTCCAGTCAGATCTATCTTGGTTATGGGCACATCCCAAGTAAGGGGGGGGCGGGGGAGTTCTGGTCAATGTTTCTCTCTCATCCATGTTTCTGACTCTCTCCCTTCCTCTGCAAAAAGTCAATTAAAATATTTTTTAAAAGAAAAGTAAAGATAAGTAAATAATAATAATGACTATCATGGGAGGGGGCCCCCAATGGTAAGATATGTACACATATAATAACTTAATAAAAAAAAGTGAAAATTAAAAAAATTAAAATAATAATAATGACAGCCCAGCTGGCATGACTCAGTGTGTGAATATCAGCCTGTGAAACCAGGTCATCTCATGGCTCGATTCCTAGTCAGAGCACAGGCTTGGGTTCTGGAGGGCTCAAGCCAGGGATCACGCAAAGGGCAGATGCCTGAGAGCCAGGATTCGCTCCTTGGGCGGCGGGGTGTCTGGGCCCAGAGCCCCCTCCCCTGGCAGCGCGGCCATCACGCAGGCTGGCCAAACCCATTGGCTGGACCTTCTGAACGCGCCCCACCCGCAGGGAGACAGGAGGGCGGGGTGGGCGGCGGGCCTGCGGTCAGAAAAAGACCGGACCCGAGTGGATTCTCTCGTGGGGAATCAGGGGGTCCCACGGCCAGAGGCCCTCCGCCCAGGGAAGGTCCGCGGAACCCGGGAAACAAGTTCACCTTGGGAGGCATGGCCGCGAGAACCTAGGCTTTTTTCTCGGGGGGCACGTGCCCACGGGCCCGCCCGCGCCCCACGGTCCCCGGCGCCGCGGCCGACCGGTTCTCCGCGCGCCCGCAGTACAAGCGGTTCTCCCGCGGCACCGCCAGGCCACAAAGGCGCCGGAGCTCCCGCACCGGGTCCGGGTCCGCACAGGCCGTCCCAGCGCC